ACATCCTACACAGGGTGTTACGAAAATTCAACCGACAAACTTTCAGAAGTTGGGCGGGGGGGGGGGTACCAAAAGAATCATTTTTTTGCAAATGGACTTAAGGTCGACTTCGAAATATCTAAAAAAATATAAGTTTTATAAAAAATTGTCTCAGACAAAAGTTGCAGGGTGTAAAAAGATCTATCTATTTACACCCTACAACTTATATTTTTTGAGATATTCCGAAGTCCGACCTTTTTCGAACACCCTGTATATCAGGTAAATACATCTAAACCACTGATCATAGCCAAGTTAAGTGTATATTATTGATCAAAGGAAGAAATTTAGAGAGTCCTTAAAAACTAAACTATATAGGGAAGACTGAAAAACGATAATTTAGCCCAACAGGAACTCTATTTATTTATTATCATTACGAATTGCTGATGCGAGTGGAAAATTTATCTTTTATGTATTTATTAACGTGAATGGCGTTAGATTTCCGAACTTTATACGTCACTGCAAACAATCCCCACTCGCGTTCATTTCATCGTATATAAGAAGCAATCGTCGAGGCATCGTTGCCCACAGACTGTCCCGGTCCCGGTAGATATCGGATTAATCAAAGTAAATATAATTCGAAATAACGATGGCAACGGCGAAATTCAAAGAAACCACGTCTCCCTACGCCAGACAGAAGCCTTCGCCACCTGCGGACGATTACCTCTACAGCAAGTGAGTAATTAATTCTAGTATTGCGCAACATATAAGTTTGCACGTGTCTCGTAAATGCTCGAGCGACGAAAATTTTTTCAATGAAGAAAACTGCTTGTCTGACTTGAGAGGAACATTTTAGGCCGCGTTCCATTTTAACGCTCACGAGCTGTGAGAGTGATTTAATTGTCCTTGTTAATTGATAAATAACATTTGCTAAACAACAAGAATAAAATAATTAAGCTCTGTATAAGCGCTAAAAGCATGAATGCAGAAACGCAGCCGTACTTTTACGTTCCTAAAATGAAAATTTTTCTTGCTGCAATTTTATTTTTAATTTCAACTTAAAAACCGACGCAAGAAACGGCGTGGATGTGCGTGCAATAAAATTCCTGGACGTTAAATGAAAATTATTATAGATGTCGTATTGTAAACTATAAAATATTCTACTAAATTGATTTTTTATTCATCTCGTTGGATTTATGATTTTATGGTAATTAATTTTATATACACATTCTAGTGTGTCCGATGAATACAAAAAATTTGTAATTGGACTACAATTTATATTCATTCAAAATTTTCACATTTAAGAAAATATTTATTCAAATATTTATTCAAACTTGTGGACTTTTAATAATATTTATTCGTGAATATTTTATGTTTATTTTATGATTTATTCATATTTATTCATACAAAATGTAAAGTGAAAAAAAAGTAAAAAATAAAGGACCCCGCAAGAATCTTATGGAAAATGGGTTTCGGTCAAATTAGCTGAAACTGTGATATTTTGTAGTTTTATTCATGCCGATTAAAAGTCTCCATGGGCCGAAGCCATAAAAATGGACAGTTTTTTTGCTACGGCATCCTGAACATGACGATTATTGCGTTTATGTATATATATAAAATGCATCAATTTACAAAGCCTTTCTGTACGCTTTTTTTGTAACGGGATTTAATTTGAGAAATGTTTCTCGCGAGTTTTGAAGTTGTTGATTACGAATCTGTTGTCAGTGTTATTATATTCATGGTGGAGCTTGACCGTGTTACAAAAATCGAAAACACACTTCACGCGGATGCACGTCTTTCCGCTCACACTGCTCGGAGTAAACTGACGATCGGCTAGTAATGCCGAATAGTAATATTTTTGTCTGAACTCATTTTCGCCATTTTTAAATATCTTAGGATAATTGTCACTTTTAGGAGTCTTAACAATTTTTTTTTGTGGCCTGGCGTGAAACAGAATGTACCTACCGGTATAATGTACAAACTCTCCCGTTTGATAGATTAGGTTAGATTACTACGTTCGCCATTGGAATTGCCCTCTTTCATATTATCCATATCAACATATCCATAATCTGCGATCCTGAAAACTCTCGAATACCGAAAATCATTTTTATACAATTTGGATAATTTCATCCGCCATATTGGATCCACTATCTTGAATATAATAACACTGACAACAGATTCGTAATCAACAACTTCAAAATTCACGAGAAGCATTTCTCAAATTAAATCCCGTTACAAAAAAAGCGTACAGAAGGGCTTTGTAAATTAATGCATTTTATATATATATACATACATAAACGCAATAATCGTCATGTTCAGGATGCCGTAGCAAAAAAACTGTCCATTTTCATGGCTTCGGCCCATGGAGACTTTTGATCGGCATGAATAAAA